TATATATATATATATTTGCCGGCCAAAAGTGGAAAACTATTTAAGAATATGGAACATTTGTAGTCATATGAATTTCATAAGAAGAAATTTATGAATATCAAATTTTAATGCATTTTTTATTTTTATTATTCATTTATTTGGAATGAGGAAGGTGAAAAGTCATTAGGCAAAATTCAGGAAGTCATAAGGCAAAAATTGTAGGGCTAAAGGGTAGAAACCGGAAGAATAAGAGAATTAATGCAGATTTTTATTTTTTCTAATTACTAATGTCATCAATATAATGAATTTTTTAGTCTATAAATAGGAAAAGTAGTAGAGGGTGAAAGTGGAGTTTCTGACTCAGCCTAGTAGGTGATTTGGGATTTTCTAAAAGAAGAAAGTCCTACGTAGTAGATGATCAATGTGATCCTCTTTCATGTTATAGTGCAAAAAAAAGTCATTCTCGTCCTGCATAGTAAGCGATCAACAAGATCCTTTTTCATGTTACGTTGCAGGAGAAAGTCGACCCCGTTTTGCATAGCAGTTGAGCAATGGGTTCTTTTTTCCCGTTATGCTGCTTAAGAAAGTTGTCAACGTTCTGCGTAGCATGCAAACAACGAGATCTTCTTTTGCATTGCGCTATTGAAGAAAGTTGTCTCTATTCTGCGTAGCAAGTGAGCAATGAGATCTTCTTTCGCATTGCGTTGTAGGAGAAGTCGTCCACGTCTCTGCCTAGCAGGGGACTCAGGATTTTCTTGCATCTTGTTGATACGCGTTCCGATGGAGATGAATAAATGCTGGAGTTTTCTCACCGAGATTTTCATGCTTGGGGAGGTAATACCGACTTCACTTGTATATGAGTTAATTTGTTGTAGTCATTGTACAAGTATATTTTGGTATTGGAGCCTTTCAAATGTATGATGTGATATTTGTAGATGATAACATAGTTTTTTTGTACATCTTTGACATTGTTTCTGAGGTTGTTGCGGCTTCTAAATCATGCGAAATTCTGCAATTAAAATTAGCACGTGCAATTTATATATAAAAGGAATCACGTACCTTTTTAGAGTTGTAACTTCTGAGATTTGTATCCTCTTAGATATATTTGTTTAGGCTTGTGCCTTCTCAAGCTTTTGTCTTCTAGGAGCTTGAAATAGTTGGTGTCTTCTGAAGCTCACAACCTTTTGAGATATTTGATGTATCTGTACTTCTTGAGGCTTGTAGCCTTCTGAGTTATTTGATGTACACGTGTCTTCTGATATTTGTAGTCTACTGAGGCCTTTGATGTACTTGTGTCTTCTAATGTTTGTAGTCTTCTAAGGTCTTTGATGTACATGTGTCTTCTAAGGCTTGTAGCCTTCTGAGTTTTTTTAATAGAGTCTGTCAATCACTTCCTCTCTTAGAGTCCCTATCCATTACTAGTTTCCTATCGAGAATTGCCTCTAATGCTCGTCTCCAAGGGCACCGTATCTTTCCATCTAGTCATGCCTCAGGGGCTCGACTTCCAGGGGTATCGTGTCTTCCCATCGAGTCATGCCTTGTAGGCTCGATCTCAAGGAGTACCGTATATTCTCATCGAGTCTTGCCTATTGGACTCAACTTTTAAGGGCGTGTTAGCTTCCTATCAGTTCTTGCCTCTTGGGCTCGACTTCTAGGTGAATCGTATCTTCTCATCGAGTCTTGCCTTTTAGGTTCGACTTCGAAGAGTGTCGGTGGAGGCCTTCTCTGCCATTGAGAATTTTCAATTTTCCCCAGTTTGTTAGTCGGGTGTGTCTATCTGATGACTGTTTGTAGCCTATATTGGAGCAAAGTTGAAAGGATAATCTACTGAGGATGTATGACCCGACCTGGGTTCTAGAACCGGAGATGTTTAATGGTATTAAACTGTAACAGACAAAGTCATATGAAATTCACTGTAATGGTTGACCTCTCGTAAGTTGTTGGTTGAAGCTTTTGCTTGACGACCATAACCTGTTATGGAAGATGTCGAAGGAAGTCTACTAAAGATTTTTGAACTATCTAAGGTTGTTAGCCGAAGTTTCTGCTTTGTGGTTGTTGCCTATGATGAAAGAGGTTGAATCGACTCCCCTTGAGATCGATTAAGCCCATAATGAGGTATTAGAGATGCTCTGCATTTCTCGAGACTGAGGTGTAGGTAGGTCACGATGGACCATATGTTTTCTTGTAAATATGGTTGCAAGTCATACTGAATAATAATGTTTGAAAACTTTTTGGTTGTTGATTTTGAATTTTTTCACCCTCAACGAGGCATTTTTCACATGAGCTTGTAAAACAGTTCATGTATTGGGCCTTAAAGAGATCTGCTTCCTGATCTCTTGAAGAGGAACTCCAAGATGGTGGGGGAGTACCGAGAAAATATTATTTGTGAAGTTGCCCCCCAATGTAGAAGTGGTTCCCGAAGACTTGATGCTCGAATGAAACATGGGATGAGTACCCTACCACATTCGTGTCTGGGATGCTAATGTGAATGGATGTTCGAGTGTAGTAAATGTTGCCCCCCAGCTTAGAAGTTGTGAAAGACTAGTGTCTGAATAGGATGTGAGAGGACAACCCAACTACAATCGTGTTTGGGACGTTGACGTGAAACCTTTTGAGACTGCAATGATGGTTGTCCCCCACATTGAAGAACGCTTCAGAGATGTTCTTCAAGCGTTCTTCAAGGTGCAAAGTAGGTTCCTTTGCCAGTTGGATGATGCACATCATTGAAAAACGAAGTTAGGGCTTATTGTCTTAGAGTTGAAGATAATGTCGAACAAGACTTTGTTTCTCATAGACAACGTCAAACAGATGTGTTTGAGAAGATTCGCGACGGTAGAGTAATGGATTATCGTCTCAGCGTTGCACGAGAATTCAGGACACACTCAGATGAAAGAAAACAACCAGTAGAAACACCATAAGTTCTTACGTGAAAAACTCGTAAAGGGAAAAAATCATGGGGTTTGACCCAGTTGAACAGATCCATTAGGGATTGAAGATTACCGGTATAACCTCTTCTCCCACATGCGCAAAATAGTTACAAAGTCTCTCGAGTTACAAGCACCGATGCGTGGAGAAACCTGTCACAAGAAATGAACGGCGATTGATGGTGATTGACGGTTGTCAGCGCGGTTCGATTGTGGCAGGAGTGATGCTGGACTTCAGCTCCTTCCAAATAACCTCCCCCCAGTCCCCCCCCCCCTAGTGGGGTGGGGTTAAATTTTGGGTGTAATCAATGCAGGGATATGAACTATTTTAATCAGACGATTTAAAGAGTTTCCTTTGATCAGACGGTCATTGATGGACATTTGAGTGCTTTAATGATATCAAAATTGAGCGATCTTAGGCTTGTTGGATTCGCCTTATCGAGACGCATGACTCGGCTATAAGCTTGCCGGATTTGAAATTCGTTTGACCTTTCAAATATGTCCAATAAAAACTTTCAAAAGTGGTTTAATGGTTTGATCATGG